AACCCTGACAAAATTGCCCCTTCCTACTGAAACTTGCTGGAATTTTGTATGTGATTCATTTGAAAAATGTCAACAACTAGAGCATTATTTTCACAATGTTTGAAAAAAATAAAGACTTGGATCCCATGATTAGTAAAAAAGTAAGTGATATACAGATAAAGCGAAACACAGAAGATTTATTGAAAATATTGAAACCAATTGCAGTAGCTCTAGGTAAGTTGCAAAGAGATCAAACAAAAATAAGTGACTTTTGAAATTTTTAAAGATTTGATGAACAGTTTGTCATTTTTATCAAAAAAAAAAAAAAAAATTGAATCTAGATACTTTCAGACTGTCAGTGATGGTCATTTCCTGGTAAACATACTAGATCCTAGATATTTTGGATCTAATCTTTCTGATTCGATCTGATAAGAAAATGACACTGGCATGAATAATCGCAGATAAAGAGTTCAAGAATTTGTTACCAATATTATTCAAATTAAAAGTCAAATCTATTATAACATAATGGATATTGAAGGTTTATTAAATGCACCAGCTTCTAGTGCTGGAATTGAAAGAATTTTTTCAACTTTTGGTCTTGTTCATTCTAATTTAAGAAACCAATTGGGGTTATAAAAAGCAGCAAAGCTTGTACTTATATATAGAACATTAAACAATGATATATTGAGTAATTTTGATGAAATATAACAATAATATCGATAAAAAAATATAGTTTACTTAAACAAAATACGTTATGCTTTTTTTAATTTAAAAGGATAACTAAATACCGCATTTTTTAGTAAAAACCTAATTTAAACCAAAAAAACCATGTTTTTTTTTTTAAAAAAAAACCTATGGTTTTTGGTTTTTTTTGCAACCCTGATATACATATATACATATATATATATATATATATATATATATATATATATATATATATATATATATATATATATATATATATATATATATATATATATATATATATATATATATATATATATATATATATATATATATGAGATACAAATTTTTATCTCAGATTGTCAGATACAATCTGAGATACAAATTGTATGAATTGTAATTGTAATCAACATTACCAAAGCAACTAGAACAACTATATTGTTTTTCTACCTGATGGAAAATAGCATCTTTAATTCTAATTTTTCAAAGATCTGGAGAACACCTCTCTAACTATCACCAGTCTTCTAATTCTTTCTAACTATTATCTAATTAATCTCTTATTATTATTATAAAAGCCTTTGAATCATTAATTAACAAACTTCAAATGACATTAATTTATTACTTTATTTATTAAAAATTTATAAGTTTATTATTAAAATTATGTAGTTCTATATATCATCTATTAAAAAATAATTGCTGCAATTTAACTCGCGTTATAAAAAAAAAAATTTAACATTCGTTTTGTGCAAATTTTTGATACAGCCATTTATTTAAAATTTAAATTTTAGTGAAAAAAAATGTTTACGAAGGAAAATCGATAAAACAATTGCGATAAAAATGAGCTATTTTTTTTTGAGTACAAATAAAATTTCAATATTGAATAATATTTAGTAATATTTTTAAATAAATTTGACAGTTAAGTTAAATCCAAGCATTAACTTTAATTTTAATAAACTTAAATATATTTTTAATACAAAATCTAAATTAAATTATAAATTTTTTAAATCTAAATTACATTATATATATCTTTTTATTAGAATAAAATTTTATATTTTTATTTATAAGTTTTAAATAAAATCATAAATTATTATCAGAATTAAATTATTATGATCTTTGCTTTAAGCTTAAAAAATCAATAATTACAATAAAATAAAAATAAACTTTTTTATTTCAATTTTTTACATTAGTAAACAGCATATCAAACATAATTGTCATTCAAACTTTTGTAACAAATATTTTTACATTAACGTCATTCAAAAGTTTATGCGATTTTTTAAAATTAATTACTTCTTTTATCTTACCGCTTACAGAATAAATTAAAAAATTATAAAAAATTGCTAAACCCAAACCGCTTACTGCTAACGTAAAATCGCTTAAGGCTTATGTGTAACACTTTAAAACAAGGCCTGTTTATTCATTCTTATATGAGTATTTATTCATTCTTATATGCATATTTATTCATTCTCATATGCGTATTTATTTATTCTTATATGCGCAATCAATAAATGTAATAATAAAATTAAACAAAGACCTAATATTAAATTGAGTAAGAAAAAGAGGGTAGTTTGTACTTTAAATAAACCATCATGGAATGTAAAAAGTGTTTTTCTTAAGTATTTTTAACCTCGTTTACTAGGAAATAAGAACAATTTATTTTGCAAAAAACTGTGCTTTTTTAAAACACATTTAAGAATGAATAAAGACGCATATAAGAATAGATAAATACGCATATCAGCAATTCCATGACACCTGTTAATGCATTTTTAATCAAGAAAACAAAAGTTTGCGGTATTTAGATTTTTAAAATAAAAAATAAACTTCATTATAATATTGAAATAGCCTAACTGTATTATAAAAACTAAACTTTTCATAACTTTTTAAATATTTTTACAGATATAGCTCAAAATACGTGCGTCACAATATGACATCAATATGTCACACCGTGACGCTCTTAATTATGCAATAACTTGTAAAATCGAAAGTAAAAAATAAATAAAAAATTATCCTAAAGAACATATATTTTTTGACCAAAATAATATAAATTTAATTTTTTTTATGCACATAGATATTATAAAATAGTATTTCCTCGATAAAAGCAAAAGATTGAGGCATGTGGAATTGCTGATATAAGAATGAATAAACGCGCATATATAAATGAATAGGCGTGTATATAAAAATGAATAACCCTGTAAAATTATTTAAACAACCCAAATTACTTAAAATTTTCATACTTTAAACTGTGGCAGTTAACTCTTAACTTTTTCTCTTCTCTAAATTTGCTTTTATTTTTGCAATTACTTGGGAAAAGTTTTGACTTAACATGCTTAATTAATACACACAATACAAATAAATAATAAAAATTTAAGTACATTTAACAAAACATTTGATAATACATTTTTTAACCCAGGTTTATTTATTTAAAAAAAAGAAAAAAATCTTTTTTACTATTCGTTATTTGATTCATCAGATTCAGACAAATTCAAGTCAATTGATGTTTTTAAACTGTTTTTTTTTTTGCTCTTAAATCAAATACATTTGAATCTTTATGTTCCAGTACTATTTGGTGTTAAATCTTTTACATTGTAGTTTAAGCTATGGCAAGCACACAAAACATCATTTACATATCTGGCTAAACCATTATGTTGCAACAACATTTTGTTCAAAATTTTTCTATTCATAATTTTTTACTAAATCTTTAACATTTACAAAATCATTAAGTAAAATACTTTAGAAATAAAATTTCAGACATTTTAACAAGGAAACATTTTACTGTTAGTAAATAAATTTCATATTTTGAAGATAATTTAATTGGTTTTTAGCTTGTTGAATAAACCCTGATGAAACCAGCATGCCACATCATCACTTAAAAAAGATTTTGACAAAATCTTTGCAGTTCTAGAACTTCAATAAATGCAAACATGGAGAGGCATTCTAGCATGAATTCTTGTGGTATCCTTTAAACTTAGCTTATTTAGCATTAGTGTTCCATATTTAAGATCCATAAATAAAAAAAAAGTGAAAGAAAATAACAAAGATTTTTTTCACCATACTAACTTTTTGATTACAGAACAGCATTGCTATTGGCTGCATCTTTTTCCATTTTGGCATTTAGCCTTATAAAATCTGAATGTGATCTTCAGTCAAAGTTTTGAAATGTTTTAAATAAACACTATTAATATTATCACAAAAGCCTGAAATTTATTTACAATCCGTCATGCACCTAAAAACAAAACTAGATTTAACAATATAGTTTATTTTACATTTTGAAAAATTTAATTGAGAATATAAGCCATTAAATCTATCGCACATAAGTAATAAATATAACATATATAAATCAAACAAACCAAAAAACAAAAACATACTTTCTTAGGTCATTAACCAATGTCATACTTATCACCTTTTATTATAGAAATAAGTTCAACCCTAAACTACCTTAACTTTTTCGGTGATTTTTTCATAACTGCATTCTTTAAATAATACAATTGAATGATGCAGCTTTTCCTAGTTTTCCTTTTTGTTACCACAAGATATGCTACACACCAACCAAACTTGAACTATGGAACTTTTACCTTGAGCAGCATTTTAACATTAGATATGCTTTCTCTATTAACAATTTCAATTTCAATTTTCAATTTCATATTCTCTAGTAACTTTTACATAATTTTAGAAACTTTGTTAGAAATTCCATATTTAAGATCCATAAATAAAAAGAAAGTGAAAGAAAATAACAAAGATGTGACTTTTTTTCACTTACCCATCCTAACTTTTTGATTACAGAACAGCATTGCAATTGACTGTATATTTTTCCATTTTGGCATTTAGCCTTATAAAATCTGAATTTGAGAAAAGAATGCTTGGCATACTTGCATTTTAGCGCAGTAACTATTCCATCAACACTTTCTATTACAAGTTAATCATTAGCAATGTATTTTGCAAGCCTTTTCACCTATTAACTGTATTTAATTGTAACCTTCTTTTTATAAACCTTTACTTTTTTTTCAGAAAGTGGTTCTGATTTTAATTTAAATTAATAACATTCTGTTGGTTTTTGTCAACTTCCACTTTATGATTATTTTTTTATATTTTCTATTTAACAATGAATGCTTTAAAATTTGCTTTAAAATATATACATGTTATCATAAAGTTTGACTTAAAGAAAACAGAATTGATTTTAAGAGATCAAAATATCTTTTTTTTCAAAAGTAAATCATTGAACATTAATTGGCTGAAATTTTCCCGCATTCCTCCAAAAGTTATTTTCTATTTGTGTTAAGTGGTTGTTGATGCATAATTAAGTTGTCAAGAAAAAGAACTTAGCTTTAAGTAGAACATCTTACCCATCAATATTTGGAGTACATTCAGCAGGCGGCTGACTGCTTTCTTTTTCTTTTAATAGCATATACCTAATAAAAATATATTAAACATTTAGTGTAAATTAAATATATATTGTGTAACCTCAATTTTAAATTTCAGAAAGTAATATTAGTATTATTAATGAAATGACATGCCTCTGTTTTACTTCTTTTGCAGTCACACCTTGCTCTGAGAAATAATGTGCTATTGTGTCAAAGAGTAACTCGCTAGGATCATTAGTTTGAAATTTTAAATCGTTTGATAATTTTTTAGTTAAAGATTCTACAACAAATAATGTAACATAAAAACATAATTCATGAAAGCAAAAAAAAAAAAAAACAATTACATTAAAAAACAACCAAATGAAAAAACATACCGTCTGAAAACTGTTCTTTATAATTCTCAGAGCTCCTATATTCATCTTGGTAAACAATCCCAGCTTTTATTAATTCCAAAAAAAGTTCATCATCCATAATACTATCTAAAAATATTTTCAAAAAAAGTTTTTGCTTTTAAAATTAAGGTTATCTCAAATGAAACACTAAAAATACTTGAAACTTTTAAAATGTAAACCTTAATATGTAATAATTTCTAAACATAAAATATTTCTATAACAAACCTAAACTTGAAGAAGTGTGAACTTTGCCATCATAGTTTTTAATAAGCTCTTCAATAAACTGCCCATCTTGGTCAATAACATCTTCTCCCATGTAAGGAATATTATGCAAAACTGTTTCATCATCAACCTGTTATTAAAGTATTATTTAATTAAAATTTAATAAGAAATATTAATAAGAATTAATTTAATAAGGAATTTTAACAAGAAGTAATTTAATAAGAAATATTAATAAGAACTAATTTAATATCTTTTAATTTTTTGTGTTCTAAACCTTAATTTGATTAAACTATGTAACTTTATGTAACTCATCTTATCTTATTTAAGTTAATTAATAAAAAAAATTCCTGATTTTTTTTTAGTTGAAAAAAAATCAGGAAAATAAATTTAATTTTTTCTACTTTTAAGGGTTTTGACCCCCTCTTTGGCAGATTGAGTGTATTATATAAAATTGCTTCAATAATTCTTTAAAAAATATTACTTATAACATCGCTACAATACTAATCAAAAGTAAAAAAATTAGAAATAACTTAATATAAACTTTAATGTTTTCAAATCGAGGAAAATTTGTTGCTTGTAAAGTTTCAGTAATAATAGAAAGGTCATTTTTGAAATTTAACCAATATGCTTTCAACAGGTCAAAAAACAAGTATGCTTTCAACAGGTCAAGCTCACCTAATAAAGAATTTGGTTTAAATAACTAATCCCAATAATAATTCAAAGTCTGTTATATAAAAATCACTTAAAGATATGATGTGGTCCCAAATAAAATAACAAGAACACTGAATCATTTTTAAAGAAACCAAAGATTAGAAAGAATTAACTAAAAAAAAAGTACTTTAAAACACTTTAAATTTGTATAACTGAACTTTGTGTTTAACTCAGTACTTAAATGGGCATGCAAAGAAACAGTGATTATCAATTTAAAACAATTTGAAATGGATTTGAAAGAAGTATTAGCTCTGTTTTTTGCAGTAAACAAGATTCTAGGCTTTAATTTGTAACACCTTGAGTGCAATTTTTAAGCTTGTTGCATATTTGAAGGTGTTGATCAACAATATTTCTAAATAAAGTAACAACATCCTTTAATGTCTGAATAAGATTCAAAAATATCTTTACAACTTGTCTGCAACAAATGCGTTATTGAAAGAGCTATATAAAAAACTTTTTTGTTATTAACAACCTTTTTTTTTTTTTTTTGTTAATTAACCTCCCCAAGGCTGAGAAAGCCACTACAGACAAAGAGGCTACTTAATTGTGGTTTTAACCCTCTCTCAACTCTTTAACTCCAAAACACGAACCTTGATGAACAAGGCCACTGCGCGGAGAAACAAGACGAGTGCGGTACTACCAAGGATGTGGTCGGGATCTTCTTATGAAGCGAGCGCTCTACCACTACACCACTACCGCTTCAGTAGAGAAGTAGTGGTTGCACATTTAAATATTTTATTGATATTTAAAGACATTTTTTCAAAACAGAAAACTGCAGGAATAAATAACTTAGCTATATAATAACTTAACTTGTTAAGTCCAAAAGCTAGATATAGATGTTCTACTTTTTTTCCACAATTGATTGATTTTAGAAGAACACCAAAAAACAAAAACTAGTTTTTATAACTGTAGTTATATACTTTTTGTATTACTCTGTCTTACTTTTTTGCATCTAAAGAATTTTGTGATACGGACAATGGCAAAACAAAATTAAGCAATTCTATTACTACAAAAAATAGATTGAAAAGTCATGTGTTTGACTATAGAATTATTTCCCGTGATAACTAAAGGGATTCTTGATAGAGATCTGAAATATACATAAAGATATATAGTTATACTACCATTTTTTAATTTATTGATTATTTAACTTCAAGTTTTCAAAAACTCAATAAAAAAAAAAACTGTAAGTTCATTATTATTTTGATTTATATTTTCTTTGCAGTGCTATCTAAACATGAGAAATAAGCAAAACTTTTGAACTAAACTGTGGCTAAATTTCAACATTTAGGAGTGTTCAAGGAAACACAAATTAATAAGTGTGCATGTAAAATAAAATCTAATAAAACACAAATTGGGCACGGTGTATGTTAAATAGGAAGTCAAAATTTAATTTTTTATATTTTATACTTTTTCTTTCCTTATTTATTATTCAAAATGCAAGTTATTAAAAAGATACACAGTCTTATGTAATAAAAATTAGTGATTTGATATATTTTAATGTATACTTGTTTCTACTAACTAATTTTTCGATCTGATGATAGTTGAGCAATAAAACTTGATGAAAATTTTACTCAGGGTGTATGTAAATAGGAAAGTCCAAAACATGTTCCAAATAAAACAACTATTTTGAATTTTTTTAAACTAAAAAAAGAAAATATCTTAAAAATAAAATCTTATATAACAAAATAAAATGTCAATTTATATTTCTAATTAAGTTATAGAAGTCAAAAGTTAGTAAAATATCCATCCAAATATTTAATTTTTTTTCAATAGTCTTTAATTTGAGAAGCAATACCGCAAAGTTATGAAACTATAATAGTATTATGTATTCCAGCTTTTATTTAATTTTCAACAGTTGCAAATTTAACACCAAGAGGTACATTAATATAGATTAAAGCAAAGTTATACACCACATGCATCTAGATAATGTATATTAAAACATGAGTAAAGAATATTCAATATTCTTTACTCAAGTTTTTTATCTTGATTGCCTTTTTATCAAAAATTTTTTATCTTGATTGCCTCCTAAATCCATAAAATATATAATTTTATATATTGACATCGTCAAACTTTCAAAAAAAACAGGCTATTGCCTTAAAAACAGTAAAAAAACAGGAAAACAGGCAAAATAGAAAAAACAGGAAGAAAAAAAAGGAAAACATGCTCTGTAGGAACCCTGATATTGATAATGCTCATAATATGAAAATAAGAGATGATGATTGACAATTGTGTGGTATGACTTGATAAAAGATAAGTAAAGATTTGATGATTTTAGACAGAGATTAGGAATAGGATATATTAGCAGGGGTGATTCTATGGATGTGTGTGTTTGTATGTGACACAAAAAAAAAAAAAAAAAAGGCGATTTTCAAGTTATAGTCGGTTCTTGGAGAAATATAGTTAGTCGGCATTTTGACACATTTCAGTCTAGTGATTTTTAGTTTAGAGGACTTTTTCTTTCTTCTTTAGAAAGCATTCAGCACTTTTTCACACACCTCCCCCTCCCCTTATTTTATTCCTAGAATTTACCCTGTTTATTAGAAGCACATGATTGAGTTATTATTAGTCAGATAAACATGATTTAAAAAATATATTTATTTACACTGTTTTCTCTCAACAAAACTTATTTCCACTGAGTTTTTTTTATTTTAAAGAAAAACAGTGTTTATTTCACATATATGTATTTAATAATCACTTTTTTCTATAACTTTCACTTAAAACTGCTGGGTTTATTTTTTGATAAAACATTAATATATTAATAAGAATAAACATAAAAAAGCTCACAATAAAATTTTGCTGTAGAGGAGCCCATGAGATCATAGTCGGCAATGCTGGAGGTGAGTAAATTGTTTGTAGTGTAACATTTTGAGATAAATAGTTAAAACCACTTTGAACTTGAGCCTAAAATGAACTCAAAAAAATAAAATGATTACCTTCATATCAGCGTACTTATAATTGATTCCATGAATAAAATTTCAAATAAAATTCCTTTTGACAAAGTTCTTATTCTAAATTTTTTAAATTTTACAGCAGAATTAATCTTTGGCTATAAAATTTGCCCGTAGATGAAGCATCAGATTTTACAAAACTCTACATTCTATACTTTTTTTTGGTTTTTGTTATTTTTATGCATAAATAAGCTGTAATAGGAACAGTTTGGTTTAGCTATTTTTAACCATAAATAAGCTGTAATAGGGGCTGGAAATATAAATAAATAAAAAACCAAAAAATGAAACAAAGCAAATATAAATAAAAATAAGTCTCAACTAAATAAATAAAAAAACAAGAACCTAAAATAGACACAAAATATTACTACATATATACAACAAATAAGCATGAACTAAATTTAAAAAATAAAATACAACCAATTTTTTATCAATTAACTCTTTTTATCAATCTAATCTTTTAAAAAAATAATTATTTTACAAGTCAATGCAAAAAATTTATCTTAATAAACAAAAAGTTAAAAAAAAACTATAAATTTTACAAAATAATATTACTTAATTTTAATTTATAAAATATTAGTAAACCCTGTTAACAAAAATTGGTAAACTTTGTTAAATGTTAAACCCTGTTATAATAGTAAATTAAATTATAACTACCTTTCTTGTTGAAGCCTCTGTTACAATAGCAATAGGAATAGTGGTCAATGGCTCTCTCTTTTTCTCTTTTAAAATTTGCTGACGTTTTTTCAATACATTTAACAACTCTTCTCGGCTGCTTTTGTAAATAGACTAAAGAAGCAAAATATTATAATTAACAGAAAAAATGTATATCAAACTAAGTGCATATATATATATATATATATATATATATATATATATATAAATATATATATATATATATATATATATATATATATATATATATCACTTAATTATCACAGTAAAAGGATGACAGCATCTTTGGAATTTGCTACTTTAATTTTTTTCTCCTGATTCATATAACTTGCAAACATTTAAGTCGTCTGTTAATTGTTATCTTGCTTTACAAACTTTATCTTTTCTCTTTCAGTAACATATACATATATACATATACATATATATATATATATATATATATATATATATATATATATATATATATATATATATATATATATATATACATTATATAATTAAATAAATAAAAACAACTAAATAGCGGGACTTAAAGTTTCATGCCCGAAGGCAATTATCAGCTGTGAATACAATCAAAAAGCGTAAAAAAAACATTTTTTAAAAAACTTAAAATTAAAACTAAATACCGTAGAACAGATTTAGACGTGATAAACAAATCTGAGTGAAAACAAAACAAGAAGCCGTTATAGTTTACTAGTCTTTTGTATCAAATAAAGAGAGCAAGAATTCCTTTGAATGTCGACACTGAGATACAATTTCATTCTTTTTGTTTATTAAATTTGTTCCACTATGTGATAAAATTACATATTTTTTATAGAGACAGAGGTGGCATATTTTTGTTGTAAGATAATAGGGACTGCAACGTTTAATTATGCTCCACGTTATTTAATTAATTAAACGTTGCAGTCCCTATAATCTTACAACAAAAATAAGTACCACTGGCTATTGTAGCTAGCATCATATTGTAATAAAATGGCTATCTAAAAATTTTTGATATGTAGCTATCAACCAGCTATAGATTTGTTGATATTTTGTAGGTAGCTACAAAGCTACGATATCTAGCTAGCTACACATTGCTACAAAATCGCAATGTTCAAAGTTCAATTATTTTTTGATTATAATAGATTCAACACTAAAAATCAAATTTTTAAAGATGTTAAAGACATTAGGAAAAAATAAAATTAGAAAAAAAAAAATTGCTTGAAAATCGCTATAAAGCTAGTTGGTCACTCGCTAGTCACTACCTCAAATTCCACCGGGTTATATTAAACATAAGACTGTAAAATTTAAATATTGATTAAATTAATTGGATTAAATAACAAAACACATTAGAACAATGGAAGATCTTTCTCTTTTAAATAAAGCTAATTTTAATAAAAATGAATTTTAAAATATCATAATAAATACTTAACTTTATTGAACACATAGCTTTAAATATTTTTCATTGTATGTTAGCAATTAAGTAAAAACTATATCTTTAATAAAAATATGTATGGAAAAAATTATAATTGCTATAATTAAAAAGGTATATTATTTTATAAAAACTGACTTTATAAAAAAGTAATCTATTATAAGTCACCTTTGCTTCTTCAGTTTTATTTTGTTTTCTCTTCCTACAAATACGAACATATTCCAACTGAATAACTTTTTTAAAATGATTAATCTTTTCTAAGTAAGCAGGATCTAAATGTCTCTCTTTAGCTTCAATATCTTCTTGCATGTTCTTAGCTCACAACTATACACAGGATATTTTCTAATCACAATTATTTCAAAAATATAATTCTTTAATACAAAAAAAAAAAAAAAGTAAAAGAAAAGTAAAAATATTTGTCATATTTAACAAATCAATTGTATTTGTCATGTTTAAAAAAACAATTTTTAACAAAATCAAAACAATTAATGCTGATTTAGAGCATCAAAAAAAGGGTTCAAATTAAAGCATGTAATATATACATATAAAGAGACCTATTATAGCAACAAGTTTTATAAACAATTTCAGAACAATCAGAACCAGAGTTATTAAAGTCCAAATCATCAAAAGAGAAATAGTTAACTTACAGATTTAAATTAAGAATGTTTTTGCAGAAAATAATTACAAATTTTTAGCACTTGAAAGACATAATTTTATTTCAATTTTAAATCTTTTCCTCTAGTTGTATGAATAAATTATCATGATCTTGCTCAATCACATAACAAGTAAAAAAGAGTAAAAAATATTTTAAAAATATTTCAAATATAGAAAGTTCTGATTAAATCTGTTGATTTAAAATTTAAAATTTTTTATTTTCAGAAGTAGTCTTATCAAAACTTTTTAAATGATACAACAATGTCCAAAAAAGTGTTAAAGAGATGTTCTTGTTTAAATAATGCACTTTTTTTAAGTAAGATTACCTAAAGGTAATTTAACTTTAAAAGTTAAAATATAATAAACTTTTATGTAGAAGATAAAAAAGTGAAGTATTCTACCAAATCATTTGAAATATTTTGGCTGTCTGATTGTTTACAAAGAGTGCAATAGTTTTTAATAACTTTGGCTTTCTAAGTTAATTTTTTAAAGAAAAATACTCTGGATAAAAACATTTTTACAAGAAAAATATTCTGGAAAATAAGACCTAACGCCAAGTACTTTCACTATAAAAGATTTATTTTTAGGATTTTTAAGATCTGGTCTTCTAGTTTGCAAAAAGAAAGCTCTTCACTAAATTTTGAATTTTAAATTTGAGCACATCTAATAAATTTAATAAAATCTATATAAACTAGAGTTTATACAAGCCTTATTGTAATATAAAAGGTTTTATATTATATTGTTTTTTTTTTCTTTCTAACCAGTCAATCTTTTTTAAAGTAAGATTCTTCTCAATCAAAAGAATTTAGTATAAAAAATAACAATTATAAGTTTTTGCAAAAAATATTTTAATAGAAACTAAAAAATGTATTTAAAATTAAAAAAAAAATTGTTTAGTTTAAAGTTTAAAATAAAATTTGCTTATATAATGACTTGTTTTATAATCAATAATTAAAAATAAAAATATTTTTTACAATGTATTATAAAAAATAAATTTAACAGGCAGTTGCTTAAATAAAGAGAGAAGCACTGTGCTTCATGTACCGATTAGTTATTCTATAACACCCCTTTTTCTGTGTGTGTGTCTCTCTCTCTCTGTGTATATATATATATATATATATATATATATATATATATATATATATATATATATATATATATATATATATATATATATATATATATATATATATATATATATATATATATATATAGAAACATGGTATAATAAATAAGCTATAAAAATATTTACAATTAATTTCTGAAAATTTAAAAAAAAAAATAAAAATTTTTACATAGATATATTTACACTTGAAAGATCTAATGACATACACAAACTATCAGTCATTTCTATAGTTGATGATTCAAGTGTTTCTGTTGATGGAGTAGGATTATTGGAAACACAACTTAAATCAATGGATGAAGATGAAAGTCTGGATTCAGATTTGCTATTATAAACAATCTCTTCATCAAGGAGAAAATGGTCTTTTGAATGTGATAAGCAATCAAGTGCTTGTTCAAGGAGTTGTATTGCTATTGTGTCATGTTTTTTTAATGCTAATGACTTATGACAATATTCCACAGCACTTTTAAAATGTTTTTTTAAAAGAAAACACAAACCTATCGATGCATAAGTGCTGGAACATTTGGGATTAAACAGTAATGCTTTTTGGTAATACATAATTCCTTCATCAAATTTTTTTTGCTTACGTGATACATGTCCAAGATTAATATAAAGAGGTTCTATTATGTCTGATGCATTGCAATCTATTTTTTCAATTTTTTCTAAAGAAGTTAACAAATATAGCTCAGCTTGCTTATACTCTCCATTTTCATATCCAAGCACTGCAAGCTCAATTCTGATATGTAAATCATCTGGAGATATTGCAAGGGCTTCTTTATAAAATTTGCTAGCATAGGAAAAATTATTTGACAGAGAATACTCAAGACCTAAATATAAATATGGAAGATGAGATCCTGGCATTATTTTGGATGCACTAAAATAAGCAGATATAGCTTGATCCCGCTCACCTTCACTAGCATAACTATGTGCAAATCCTAACCAAGCTGGACCAAAATTTATATCAATTGAAGTAGCTTTACTGAAATATTTTCTAGCAGGTTCATTTTTTTTAATAATTAGGTAATAAGAACCTACAGCAAACCACGACACTGCTTTGTAAGGATAGTTATTAACTAATTTATTTGCAACATGATAAAGTTCATTCTTCATTTTAAATTCAACTAAACATGATATATACAAAGGTAAACATGATTCGTGTAAAGGATCAGTTTTATAAACAAAAGATGCCAATTGAAATGCCTCCTGGTAGTGGTAATTATTAAAATACTGTTCTGCATTGCATACTATAAAATCTAAATTCTCTTTGAGTAATTCAAGATATGATGGAAGTTTTTCATGAATTGGTAAAGAAAACTTATTAATTTTACACCCATAAACAACTTTAAGTAATTTTTCTTCTTCTAAACTGCATTGTTGAGAAAAAGGAAGAGTCTGAAGAAACAAAAACTCGTCAGAAGTATTCATAATATTGTGAGAAATAAGATTGTCAAATGCTTCAAAGCAATAAACATCATGTTGAAGGGCATCTTTATAGTACTTAGTTGCAAGTACCTTGTTTTCAAAATTTTCATGAATCATTCCTTTAAGAAGAGCTATAGAACTTTCAAGTTTCCTGTTATTACTATGAATAGCAAAAACTGACGAGCTACTACTACTGCTACTATTTCTGTCAACTGATAAACTACCTCCATTTTGAATTCTGAATTCTAACTTATTATCATTGGTTTCTGATTCTAGTATTTCAAGTGCAGCTTTGAACTCTTTTTCTTCGTATAAACAACGAGCAGCTAAGTATTTAGCAGCAGAATTTTTAATAATAAGATCGTTTGATTTAAGAAGATGAACAGCCCTGGAAAACTGCTTTGTGAGAAACAAAGCGTGAGCAAACCACAGACAATCCTGAGGTTCTCTTTTTGATAATGTATACACTTTATCAGCCCAAAATAATGCTGTTTTGTACATATGTTGATCTATATATTGTCGAACAAGGTTTCTTAGCTGTGATAAATCAAAATTAGCGCCATTTTCTTCCGACATTTTAGAAATTAATACTGAGCCGGTAAACAAACACATAAATATTTTAATAATGCCGGCTGCGGCAGAATCATAACCTGATCGTAACATTTTTCCGTTTCTAACAAATCATGGAAGTATAAAATAGAAGTTCATTAAGCCACAAACGCCAAAGAAATTTCGAGTCGTCTCGGGAGTATGCTTTTAACAAACAATAAAATAAAAAATTATTGTTATTGTAGTTATTTAACAAATAAAGAGGTTTACTAAAACTTAGTAATTAAATAGAACTACTTTATTTTAAAAGCAAATGTCAGTTTAAACTTCTTTTATTGCTTCGAATCATAACACGCTCAAATGAGTGTTATGATTCGAAGCAATAAGGGCCGTTCCGAAGAGATTTTAATGGGGGGGGGGAGACGTATCTGTTTTTTGCCGACAAAAGTCAAAAAAAAATTTTTTGCCGACTAACTTATGTTAAAAAAAAATTTTTGTAGGCCGACATTTGCCGACTGCCAACTACAGACCCAAATTTTGTCGACTCCAGTATCCAATTTGCCGACGAATAAAATTCGTTGGGGGGCTAGACACATTTCTACGCCCCCTCGGGACGGCCCTGCATTTAATTAAAAAGACAACAAATACAATTTAAAAAAAAATTCTAAATTATTAAAAATTAAAGTTTCATAAGTTGTATACAGTGCCGGATCAAGGGGGATGGGGGGGGGGGCTTTTTTATTTAGTCAATTTTAGGCCCATAAAAAGGCCTCCAAAAACAAAAATAGCTCTGGGCCCCAAAGCAGTCTTAATCCGCCGCTGGTTATATATCATAATTTCATTTATGCTTGTAATACTCAATACATTTAGTATTAGGTTTAAGAAAACGTTGTTGCTTGCCTTTTCATAGTCGTCATTTTTTAATATTTATACTAGGGGTGCGCCAATGCATCGGCATCAGTCTAGGTAACTATTGGCCAATGCCGATTGTTTTAAAAAATCAGTTTTTTTACTTTTGTGTTTCTATATTGTATGCAAAAGTATAATTACTCCATAAACGAAATGCATGTGTAAGTCTAATTTATTATAAAGACATATATGCAAACACTAAATCTTTAGATACTTGTTGAACTGTTTTTTTATCAGGATCTCCCTGAATTTAGTGTCTATTTATGATTTAGGAAAGCAATTGTATGACTTATGGATCCAAACTATACAAAGAAATAAGTTTAAAATCAAGTAATTTAAATGTAATAGAAAATATTTAAAAAAAATTTGTACGAGATGTTCTTCTCCTTTTTATTTAGCAAAATTTACAAATTGCTTTGAATGTTTATTTTCATCTATATCAAAATGTTCTGTTAGACTTTTAGTTGCTTTGCTTATTGTTAATTTATTTCTTATTTAATTTTATTTCTAAGTTTAATTCCTAGAATATAGATTATTTATTTACTAGTATATTATTAAATCATGTGTACAAGAAAACAATTTTTGAACGCAAGAAGCAATAAAAAAAAGTCTTACTGCAGCAGGCTTCAACATGTCTCAGCCTATTATTTCAAAAAAACTCAAACGCTCGGATTTATCAAGAAAGCGTATTGCGCATGTGCCAGAAGAATGAAACGAGTTATTGGTGCACGCTATGCATTTGCAAGCAAAATTAACAGAATTCCAAATAAAAAACTTATTTATTTGGGTGAAACTGGATTTAATGTGCACACCAACAGCACATATGGTTATTCGCTAAGAGGTGTGGCAGTAATTTTACAGTCGTCTGCAAATTGTATCAAGAATGTTAGTTTGATTTTTGCAGCTTCAACAATAGGAGTGCTGGCTTATGAAATAAAAACAGGAGGCTGGAATGCAGATTCATTTTGCACTTTCATTTCTTTTTTTTTTAAACATCTTCGCATCCAACAAGGCTGCAAGCAACCACTATTAGAGTTAGAAGTTACTGAAAGAGAAAAGATGAAGATTGTAGAGCAAGATAACCATTGACAGATGACTTAATAAACTGCAAATTATATGAATCAGGAAAGCAAGATAAAGGAAGCGAATTCCAAAGAACTGATGTTTGAAAAAAAAAACTAGAGGAATAAGAGTTTTTGGAGCACTTAGGAACAGCCACAGAAAAAGGATAAAACTTAATTTTAACTTAAAAATGACGAGTAACACGAAAATGAATTTTAGTAGATGGCACAAGAAACACTAGCTCTTTAGAGCAGTGCCCATAATAATATTTGTAGAAAAGAAAAAGAGAAACAACATTACAACAATGTGATAATGGTTGAAGGTTGGCTGCAAGAGCAGGTCTAACTATGTTTAAAATGCGTTTTTGCATCTTGTCTAAAAGAGAAACTACATCATTAGAAGATCCACCCCAGATATGGCAACATTATTCCATACAAGGCTGGATTTAAGATTTATAGAGATAAAGAATAGAATCTGGAGTAAGAAAGTGTCGAGCTTAATAAGGAGATGCAACTTTAGCAGATACTAGTTCTGCAACGGATTTGATATATGGTTTCCAAGAAAAATTGGAAGCAATAGTTAATCCTAGAAGATAAAGGGTAGATGGCTCATCGAGTACATTACCGTTCATAGATATAAGAAGGTCTAAATTATTGCAATAACAATTGGCTGAAAAAATGGAGTTTTATCTGAATTAAAGTTCACCAACCACTGTGAGCCCCATGCTGTAGCAGAAGTGAGATCCTTTTCAAGCTCAAATGCCCCCTCCAAGCAATCAGAGAGTGTTGGCTTCTTATCATGACAAGAATAAATGGTTGTATCATCAGCAAACAATGTCACCTTAGATGTGAGAATATCTAGAAGATTGTTAATGTAAATTAAAAAGAGCATAGGGCCGAGGATTGAACCTTGAGGAACCCCCGAGGTTATAGAATAAGAAGAAGAGTGCTGTCTATCGAGGACAATTTTTATACAACAATTGGATAGGAAAGATTCAATAATCTTAAATTACTAAAATGTTGGCACCAGCGATTAGGAATGCAGATGTGGAAGCCCCGGTTCTTGTTATGGACATATTTCTGTTAGGCTGACACTTGCCTCTCATGGCATAGCTGTTAAGTATCTGCCAGCATACACGCCACAGCTTAATCCAATAGAAGAATTTTTTCTTCTTTAAAGCATATTTACAAGCAGAGAAAAAGGCCTCGAAATACGGATTGGGAAATCAGGAAACTTAAAAATGTTATAGATACTCAGATTTTAATTTAATTTAATTTTACCACCATATGCGTAGTTACATAAATCCAGCGCTGGCTCGGCAACCGTCCTTTAAATAAATAGCGGTGGCAACAACCTAATTTTTATTTTGAATTTATCTATATAAAATAAAAACTAATTTTCATTTTGAATATATCTTTATAAAAACATAAAAGCTTATTTAATGTTTATATAAAATTATATTAGAGATTTTATGGGTAGGTGACTCACATATAAACGCGCATATAAGGATGAATAAATGAATAAATAAAAAATAAAAAAATATATGCGTGTTTATTAATAAAAGAATGAATAACGCTGTAAATCAGAGGGTGTATGTATATTCCACTGCGAGTAAATCAGTCAATTTAAGTGCGGATTGATGCACTTATTTTTTTATTGTTGTCGTTGTTGTTATTTAGGTGCCCCAAGAAGCACCACGGAAGTGCATTTAACCAGAGCACCGCGGAAGTGCATTTAACTAGAAAGTTCACGCCCCCTTCCTTACCGAGACGTGAAATATGTCCAAAGATTGTTTCGAGCCTAGATCTCCTGCTTATGAAGCAAGCGTTCTAACCACTGCGCCAAGCCCGCACACATTTTATGAACCTTTTAATAAAAATATTAAGTATAATTATAAATAAACAAAAAAATAGTCAAATATAACATAAAGCATCAAAACAAACAAAAAAAAGATCACCCAGATGAAAACATATGAAACTGCAACCCTGTTATCTGCGCCTCTTAAGAAATACATTTTTGTCCACAGCAGTACACAAATATAATTATGACAACAAAAAATTAAACATTTTTTGCGTACAAATAAGATTTTCATTATGCAAACATCATTTGTACATGACTATATAATAAAAACCTCTTTTGACCTTCTATCACAAAATATGTTTTAGTCACATGTAGACAAAGCTAAGGACCGAATTAAACTGAAAGACGAATTTAAACCATATGCGTACATAGAATTTAACTGGAAGATGAATTTTGGTCATTTACAATAACCCGATTTTAACAGAAAGTCGAATTTGAATTTTAAAAACTCATTTAATTAAAAGAAAAATTTGGACTTTAATATTGAATTTTAACTTTTTATCCATTTGCTAAATAAACATGCATTTAATAATATTTACAGAATGCAAGCACATTGTTTTATAATAAATTACAGAAAATATTACGAATTTTAACCTTAAACTTTATCTTATATTTATAATTTTTTTATTGCACTTTAGTTCTGTGTAATGTAGTCAAGCTCTTTTAAATTGTTATTGTAAGATTAACTTGGGTTCAAATAACAAATCTGATAAGGCTGGAATAGAATAAATTCTCCTGATAATGGAAGCCAGCATTGAATATTGTGGTGCTATGCTCTTCTATTACTGTGAAACATCAGTTTATTTTGCTATCAATGGTGATGATTATTCCAGTTCTACTTAAATGTTAGAAGTTTTTTCAGGATTTCGGTCTGGAACTAAGATCATCCTGAGTTAATGTAGACAGAGTTTGGTAGGAAAAGTTGATCTCGTCAGAATTTAGAGTATTGATAAAGTGCTCTCTCTAAAACTAAGGGTGAGTTTCCTCAGCAGATGAGTCTAGATCATCTTCAATTTGGATGCTTTGGTCATTTCATATCTGTCATAGCTTCGTTTTAAGGAGTTTGCTACCTAAATCTAATTTTGATGTTTTGTTTTTTTTTCATTACTGAATTTCTTGAAATTCATGCTTTCGTGGCCGAGGGGGCCATTTTAGTCGAGAAGACAACTATTATTATTATTTTTTATATAAAAAAATTTCAAAACAAAACTTGACTTACAAAGACGTTTTGTGGAAAACAGTTTCATATACTTTAAAAGTTTAAGAAGTTTTATTATTCGACTTTAACTGAAAGTTTAATGAAATTTTGCAATTGTTACCGAACTTCTATTTCGAATTCGGCACCGAAGTAGAAGTCAAAGCCGAAAGTTTCAGTAAACTGCGAATTTCGAACTTTAACGAATATTTGCCGGTCCTTAAATAGGGCATTTTTTGCAAGACTTCTACTGAACTAAATTGTGACTTGAAAGTATGACTAATAAATTTAACTTAACATGCAACGGAAGGGTTTATCAAAAACTGGTCATATTTTACCATAAAGTCAAATGAGTGAGTTAAAAGAAAATGGTTGTTAAGGGTGTTGTTATGCCTGAAAAAATTATTGCTCATAAAACGGTGCTTAAATTAGTTTTTCTGTTAAGAATATTTAATAAAAATAAGATTGAATCTTTTCTCTGTTCTAAAAAACTTCTATATGACCAAGTATACATTTGACCATTTATTGATTTTTTAACCTTTGATTTTTGAAAAAAAAAGCAGAGCCAAAGCAAAAATATCTTAATAAAAAATACCGTTATTTTCAAATAAATACAAGTTACATACTTTAAAAAAAAAACTTAAAAAAATATCAAAATTCATTAAAAAAAATTATCTAAAAATTCATATAATAATTTATGTGTATAAATATAATTAACAAAAATGAATTAAAGCATGAAAAAAAAAATAAAAGATAAAAAAACTCGTAGTTTAGCATTTTAATCTGCTATAATTTTGCCACAATCACATCAGAAATATTTTTAACTATTGCCATTACATCTATTCACCACTTTGATATTTTTCTTTGAGAAATACTTGGAAATATTTTTGAATAAAAATAATCAAAAGATTTTTGTGTTAAACAAGTTTCAAACGAAAAGTATTTCCTTTTAGTATCAAGTTTTGAACAAAAATGTTAACTTCAAATAAAAGTCTTTTAACCGAGGTTAATAAAGATAAATGGAGTGGAGAATCGAAACGCGTACACGTGTTGCAAAAACTTTATATTTAAATAAATTTTTTTTATATTTTTGCAACTGCAGTTGAAAGGAATAGCACTGTAGCATCTTTACCTTTTCCAAAACCATATTTTTCCTGTTTTCTCTTTTGCTTTGTCCTTCGCTTTATCAACTGAATAGCGTGCACTTGTAACACGTAGCTCTTTTATTTTTTTCAAAATTTGATGACGGTGTTCTTTATTTATAACACCAAGTTCCTACATTAACAAAAGTAATACTTTTTCAGAATTAGATAACAAATATTCCACCAGATATTAGAAACGGATACAAAATTTATTTAACTTTTAGAAGAACTATAAAAGACAAAAAATTTAAATCTTCATTTATTACGACCTTGACATTCTAGAAATGGAGGCCTTGACAGCAAGATAGTTTATCTTTTGGTTGGAGCCGAACGTATATGGCTGTATAGATTTACATGGTAATGAATGCGATGGTTATACTCAACAGCGATCTTAATACAAATTTTAAGCAACTGTGTTTTGTACCGTTTTTTACACAGCAACTATTTTTTACACACATTTTTTACAACTAAAAAATTTTCATTTTAATTAACTGGAAATTTAATGCAAGGTTAATGGTATTAAAAAGCACAACATAATTATATACAAAAAGTTATTTTCGAAATTGCTATGTACCTTGAAATTGTTATGTACTTCGAAATTGTTATGTACCTTGCTGTTATAGAGGTTATGCGTCATCAACTACAGAAGTGTCCACTTTTCGATTTTCTAGTGATGAGTACAAAAAAGAAAATTTTTAAAGGCATTTCCTAGGAAATATTTTATTATAAATAAGTACATTGTTAGGTGTCGACTTTATTTATAGATTACATATCCTTTACATTTTATTGTGGAAAAGAAAGTCCTATAAAACCACCAACTGTCTTGCCTAACATACCTTCTAGCTGTCTTAGTATACCTCCTAAACGTAAACCAACAAAATTGTCATCATCCAGTTTAATATATCCATTATAATATACTATATAATACTACATCTAGTAAAAGAAATACAATATCAGATAAACTTGTCTTTAGAGCACATGACATTTTTCGATTAGATAGCATCGAGAGACATCGATTTCGATTAGATAGCATCGAGAGACATCGATTTCGATTAGATAGCATCGAGAGACATCGATTTCGATTAGATAACATCGAGAGACATCGATTTCGATTAGATAACATCGAGAGACATCGATTTCGATTAGATAGCATCGAGAGACAACTCTTGCAGAGTAATGATCTTATTGTATAAAACATAAATAACAAAATAAAATAACATAAATAACAAAACATAAATAACAATAATGATGTTGCTTACATTCAGTTGAAAGAATTTGTATATGGTATTACAGTTTTTGCTTATTCGAATACTTTGCAATATTCCAGTCACTTTAGACCCGCATTTATAATGATTTTAAGTTACAAAGTATTAGAACTTTTACAAGAACCACTTCAAAAGTCGGATTACAAGATAGTAAAGATATTTTGAATGTTATGATGAGTATTGAAAATACACAAAGTAAATGTTTATAGGTGGTTAATGAAGTTTATACGGAAAGCGGCATCTGTTATCCCTACTACTAAATTCTGGAGAGTGATCTGACTTGCCTAACTACCATCCCATTAGTCTTCTTCCTGTCATAAGCAAGGTATTTAACTAAAAAACACTTAATCTCTCATCTTGAATCTAATAACTTACTTTCTGATCATCAATTAGAGTGGCCACACTTATTTTGAGTTAAATAATTAGAAGAATTTAGGAGCTTTTAATGGACTTTTTAGGAGATTTTACCGGGAGACTTAAAAAAACGAATAAAAAAATTAACATTATTCAAGAGGATTTTAAAATTTTTTAAGTATTTTTGAAATTCAAATATATTTAGGAGAATTTAAGTATTAGGATATTTTAGGATTTATTAGGAGACGTGGCCATCCTGTCAATATGAATTTCGATCTTCTCGTTCTATTGCTGATTTGTTAACAGTAATAACTGATAGATTTTATCTTGCATTAGATAGATGTGGAGAAGTTAAGGCTATCAATTTTGACATTTCTAAAGTCTTTGATAAAGTTTGGCATGTTGGTCTTCTCCATTAGCTTACTTCTTACAGTGTATCAGGTAACATCTTTTCTTGAGTCCTCCCATACCAATCGTATTATAAAAGTTGTCCTCGATGGACAACACCCTTCTTGATTTCCTGTAACTTCAGGCACTATCTTTAAGCCTTTATCATTAAGGCTCTATCGTTTACCCTATACTTTTTTTAGTTTACATTAACGATTTTCCAGAAATTCTCATATCTAAGGTGGGATTGTTTGTTGATGATACTACCATTTATTCTTGTCTTGATAAAAAGCCAACACTCTTTGAGTGCTTGGACAGGGTATTTGAGCTTGAAAAGGATCTCACATGCTACAGCATGGGGCTCTCAGTGGCTGGTGAACTTTGACTCAGATAAAACTCCATTATCGCAATAATCTAAATGTTCCTACATTTATGAACAGTAATGTACTCCATGAGTAATCTTCCCCTCACCTTCTAGGATTAACTTTTACTTCCAATCTTTCTTGGAAACCATATATCAAAACAATTGCAAAATTAGCATCTTCTAAGGTTTCTTTACTTTTTAGACAAGGTGTAAAAACACATTCTAAACACAGTAAGACCTGCTTTTGTACCCAACCTTTAACCATTGTCACATTGTCATAATGTTGCCTCTCTTTCTCTTTTCTATAAATATCATAATGGGCACTGCTCTAAAGAGCTAGTGTCTCTAGTGCCATTAACCAAAAATTCATTCTCGTGTTACTTATCATCCAATTAAGTTTCATCTTTTTTTAGTGACTATTCCTAAGTGCTCCGAAAATTCTTATTTATCTAGTTTTTTTCCTTGAACATCAGTTCTTTGGAATTGGCTCCCTTTATCTTGTTTTCCTTGTTCATATAATTTGCAATTCTTCAAGTCGTCTGTTAATTGTTATCTTGCTCTATAAACTTTATCTTTTCCAGTAACCTTTAACTCTAAAAGTGGTTGGTTGCAATCTTATTAGTTTAAAAAAAAAGGGGAAAGGTGTAAATTTGAGTCTGCAAAAAAAAAGGAAAAGCAGAAGCTTTATGAAAATTAATGATTATGACACAGAGGGAAAATGGTAAATCTTTAGCAGAGGCTAAATTTTGGTCTAACTTCATCCCTACAGTGTTATACATTAGGGAGAAAAAAAATCATCATTCCATGTGCCAGAAGAATTTTTGCGTCTAAATGCTGGTAGAATCAGAAATTGACCAGCAAACAGCTGCATGATTTGATGATACAACATGTCAGAAATTTTGTATGAGCTGCATTTGTTGCCACCTCATCCAGGCTGGTGACAAACTCATACGGTCCGCCAACCGTGCAAGAATGTATTGATTAATGAGAAGCAGGAGACTTGCCATTTATGCTGGGCAATCAAAGGTTGGAGTAAAAAAGACTGGAACAAGATAAACAACTAATTTTTAATGGAAACAAACTCTTTTTGATATAATTTTTGCTTACAGAGTTTAAATTATTAAAATTAAAATGAATAGACAATGAATACGCTATTATATTATCCTTCGGCAATTGATTATGGTACAAATGGCCATTCTACTAGCTGTCTTTCTTTTCCTTTTGAGCAAATATTTATGGCTTTTGTTTTCTTATTAAATTATTCTTTACCAAAAATAATTATCGGAAGACAGGACATGTTTGCAAAAGCTCCTCTAAAATGGTACAAGAAATTCGCTTTTGCTGTATTCAGGAGTTATCTTGTACTGCTTAGAAAAATAACCATCAATGGTGATATTATCTACATTTTTATTGTTTTGTTTATTTACCTACATTGATATTTAATCAGTTAAAGTAATAAATAAGATATTTTTTGAAAAAATTTTGCATTTGGAAAAATCTAGAACTATTAATTAGTTTACAACAGCAATATTTGCTGTATCAGCAATATCTACAATATCTGCACATTTATTCCCAGGTGAAAATTTAAACCAAAACTTTGACCATTCTTTTATGTGCTTCCACTTAGCACCTCTTCACTCTATCACCTTTCTCTTTGTTCTTTATCATTCTCCTTCTACCCAAGATTACACTCTTTTCAGAAATTAACGATGCCTTCTCTCTTTACTCCTTTACACCAATATTGTCAATATTGGTGACTTTAATGGTCATTACACTGAATGGCTTGACTCTAATTCCACTGACCCTATTGTTGGCACTAAAGCCTAAAACCTCTGCATTTATCAATCTCTTACTCAAATAGTTAACTTTGTTACTCTTTTTCCTGACAACTCTAATCATTTACCTTCACTCCTTGATTTATGTCTGGTCTCTGATCCTAACTTGTGTTCAGTTTCTCCTTTTTCTCTTTTAGGTGGTTACCACACAACTATCTCTTTAAATCTTTCATCGCAAACTTCCCTTTGGACTCACCCAATCATCAAACTACTTAATACTACCCTAAAGCTGACTGGGATTCTCCTTCTTAAAGTTGCATCTCTTTCTTTTTTACACAAATACTATCATGGTTGCTGCTCAAAAGAGCTATCATCTCTAAATCCATCAACTAAAACTCATTCTTGTTCTTGAAAGACTATGAGCGGAATGCAAAAAGCAGACTTGAGAGAAATTTGACTTGAACTTTGAAGTCTGACTTTTTCAAGTCAGACTTCAAAAAAAACTTGAGCAAATGCATAAACAAAATTTGAACATTTCAAGATCGCACTTGAGAAAGTCAAACTTGAAAAACATAAAAGACGTTGATTTGAAGGCGGAATTGGAAAAATAATTTTGCAACCAATAGTGGCAGAGTATTTGAAAAGGAAAAATCTTTTAAATAAAGCAAATTAACTATATGTTTTTAATTATTATTTCTGAGTTTTTTACTTTAAAATATTAACTTACAAAAATAAATTAAAAAGTGTTAAAAAAAATATCAATTTTAACTTTTGTATTTTATTTTTAACAAAACTTGGTAATTTAATAAAAAATCACTTTAAATTTTTAACATAACTTGGTAATTTAATAAAAGACCATGAAATGCTGGATCCGCCCTGATGATCATATCGTCCTACTGCTGACTTGTTAACCGTTCAACTGCTGACTTGTGAACCATTATAACAAAAATGTTCTGTCGTATATTAGATGAAATCTAATTATTGTTAACCATTCTCTTCTACAGATTTAGCTCTCTAACTCTCTATATTCGTCCTAGTATTGAAAACTGTTTTCATAATTTTTAATTAATTTTCCGCTAACTCCCAACGTAATTAGTGCTTCCTTGCAGTCTTGTTGGAGTTAAATCTTTTTTAATAAAAATTTCAACAAGAAAAATGAGTTGTAAAAACCTTGTGTTTGACATAAATGCTTTGCTGATAACCTTATAGCATAAAAGCCATTTGAATGTTAATCAGCTGTTACGTCGTAGTTAGAGGCTTGGACTAAATAGAAGGTAACATGAACATGTTCATTTAAATCCAGTGATTTTTTATTAAATTACTAAGTTTAAAAAAAAATACAAAAGTAAAACTCGTTGTTTTCAATAAAATAATAATACAAAAGTAAAAATTGTTGTTTTTGTAACACCTTTTAATTTTCTTTTGTAAGTTAATATTTTAAAGTATAAAACTCAGAAATAATAATTAAAAATATATAGTTAATTTGCTTTATTTAAAAGGTTTTCCCTTTTCAAATACTACT